TTGGGAGTACCGATATTATTGAGTATAAAATGCTAAGTTAAGTGGTTCTTTCAGTATACATTATAATGATTGGTTATAAGTTATTCGAAATATGATATTCATATAAGTCGTATATTCGTGTAGATATCGATCGAGGGCAAGTCCAAGATGATTCGAAGCTATAAGATTGTGCAAAAGTCATAAGTGGTTGAATTGGCTAGTGAGGCCAGGTGAGTGCATAAAATTATGTATATGATATGCCATGGAAATAAGACTTGCGATGAGTCTAATTTCCATATTATGGTACATGAATAGGAATATATGTGTTACACGTTATTGTGTGAATTACATGTTATACCATGTGTGTTAAATTAGGTATGTGAATGCAGAATGATGTGTTAATCTGTGTTAAATAATATAATGGAATTATGTAATGATATGAATCTAGATTATAAGCTACATGATTATAAGAACAAAATATGAGTTATATAATATGATTATGTAATATTATGAGAATATGATAAAAGTGAGTTCATGAGAAATGATATGAGCTAGGTAAGCATGTGTAAATGTTACATAAACAATAGGAACATGAGTTGGGCAAGTACATGATTGTGTGATTATATGTGAACTAGTATAATAGAATTATATGATTAAATGAGAAGTGAGATAAACTAAGTAAGATTAACCTATAGGACGATATGAGAATAGTATATCGACTAGGAGACTTGAACATAAGTAATGATACAAACATATAAGATAAGCTATATGGGGAAGATTCATGTGCTTAAATAAAATTATGACATATGAGTAATATGATAAAAATCTATGAAGCCATATGAGAAGGTTATAGGAGCCATATAAAATTGAACTAAGTAAATAGATTAAATTAGTATATATAAATGAAATAATAGCAGTGATATATGTTTATAAGTTATGACATAGGTTACGTGATCTATGTGAATATAAGAGAATGAAGCATAAGCTATGTGTTATGATATAAGTTATTATATACATAAATGATATATGCTATTAAACATGACATATGTGATTATATGAGAAATGATAGGAGATATATAAGTAAGTATATATATATATATATATATATATATATATATATATATATATATATATATTATTTAAGTGACCATATGAGATTATATGCCTATGTAAAAACATGAGAAGGTGAAATAAGTTCAATGATATTGATCTATGTGATTATGTGAAGAAGAATATGAACTATGTGAATACAAGTATATGTGATATGATATATATGACTATAAGCTAGGAGAATGTTATATGATTTATACAAGGATAAGTTATGAGACTACATGTGAAATGAAATGAGTTATATGAGTACATGTATATGAGAAGACATAAGAATAAGATATAAGCAATGTGACAAGAAATGTGAAATGACATGAAAAGTTGATATAAGTTATGTGAAAGTATCTACGTGACTATATAAATATGTTATACAAGTTATGTGACAAGTATAAATGATAATGCCCATGTTATGTGATATGAGAGCTAGGGGTATAGTTGGCATGCCAAGAGTCGAGGGTTCTATGTGGTCCTTCGGGTTCGGGACAATTTTATATGGCCCTAGTTAGGCTTGTAAATGAACTGAACGTTCAGTGAACCGTTCATGAACCGTGCAGCGGGAAGTTCGATTATGTTCGTTTATTTATTAAATGAACGGACATGAACAAGATTTTGCGTTGGTTTAATTAAATGAACGAACACAAACAAAGGGCTCATTCGTTCATTTACGTTCGTGAACGTGCGATTATATGTTCGTTTATGTTCGTTCATTTATGTTTATTTATGTTCGTTCATTTATGTTTGAACAGAGGGCAAGTTGAATATGATACGAAGATTATTGAAGTTGTTTGGATTTCAAGAAGATTGTTTTGTTGAACAAATTAACTTTAAGACTTTATTATGTTCATATAGCTTATTTATGATTTATGTATGTTTTTGTCGTATTTGAACAAATTAACTCTAAAGTTGTAGGTTATATTAAAGAATTTTAAGTTTTCTTCTTGTTTACTTTTTTTACATTCATTTGTTGTGTACGAATATGTTTATTTTTTGTGTTTGTGTTGTTCGTTTATTGTGTTCGTTTATATTCGTTTATGTTCGTTCGTTTGTGTTCGTTTACGTTCGTTTATCATTTAAATGAACGAACATGAACAAGCTATATTCTTTAATGAACGAACATGAACAAAAAAAAATTTGTTCGTTTATGTTCGTGTTCGTTTATGTTCTTGTTCGTTTATTTATTAAATGAACGAACATGAACATACATCTGTTCATGTGCGTTCGGTTCGTTTACAGGCCTACCCCTAGTGGGACCTTATACGAGTTGTAGTGACAACATATGTGCACAACCTCTATGTACTCACATATCTTTGGTTCTCAAAAGTGTACATGGGCTATTAAAAGACATAGTATAAATAAAGTGTATGTGATGTTGTGTGTGTTTCTTGGTGCAATGTATTATATGCTTTGTATAAATGACAAGTATAAGATTATATGATAAATGAGATTAATGATAATGATAAGATTATTGAGGATGAAAATGATAATATATGTATATATATGCATTTTGTTATATGTAATATTATATGAGTGGCATGATATGATGATATGAAATGTTTTGTATTGTTAAATAATTAAATTTCCATTATACGTTTTATTATACCTTACTAAGTCATCGACTTAGCGTGTGAGTGTTTCACACGTAGGTTTCGAGAAGCAAGAAGAGGAGCAAAGCAATAATAGGCAAGGCATGTCAGCTTCTCCTTTCTAAAGATCATATCAGAAAAGTATATGAATAATATGTATTTTATCTTAAGGAAAGTAGTTGGCATGTAAATAAAAGATTTGAATTGTATCCGCTCTGATAAGTTTTGTAAACTCTTTGATCTAGATTGTATAAATTATGCATTTTGATTTAATAAAAGTTAGTAATTTCATTCTTTTGTAAAAGTAAATGTTTTGAAAAGTCAATGTGACATCACAGACTCGTATCCGGGTCGAGTACGGGTTGGGGGTGTTATATCACTCGTATATATGACTCGCGTACCATGCATCCTCATTCATTATACATTGGGGTATGGTTTGAAATGAAATGGGAAAGTATATGTTTGATTGATGTAATTTAAAGTAAAGTTTTATTGAGAACTTTGGTTTGACATTGAACGCCTTTATGTGAAAAGTTGATTTACATGTTACTTTATATGAAAAATGACTTTAATAAGTCAATTTTATGTGTTCATATAATTTTATATGATAATTATCGTATTTTGATTATTTATGATATTTTTATTTTGAAATGTCTTGCTTTAATTAATATATGCCTCACTAAGTTAATACTTAGCATGTGATTATTTGACGTGAACGTAAAGAAAAGAGTTTGGAGTAAGGAGCTAGATCAACATCACTTTTTGGAGAATCACATCAGCTCTCTAGTATCAATATGATATCTCTTTTGATATTACTAGTTGACATGTATATTATTTTTGTTGAATTGCTCTATGGTGAATTGACATGATTTGTATATATACTGACTTATAATGGGTATTATTAGATAAATAGTATTATGCATGCTTAATATTTTATTAAATTAGATTTTAATTGCTATTTGGATGAATTTCAATTATGATAATTTTTAGGTAGTTTCACTCTTTTCGTGAAATAGTATTGAACTGTTACGTTGATGCCTAAAATATGATTTGATTTGGATGTTTAAATATTATATTTTGGTTTTAGACGATTAAATATTTTTAACGATTGCAATTGAATTTGATGATTTTGAAAAATAAAATAATTTTTACTGGTTTTCGAATGAAAATTATTTTAAATAATTGATGTGACATCTCTAACTCGTATTTGAGTACGAATATGAGAAAGGGGTGTTACAATATGTCTGTGTTTCCAACTTGCAGTGATTATTTAATATTAGTAGCTAAAAAGGATAGATTCAATAGTAGATTTTACAACTCTGAAACTAGAAACGCTAATAGACAATCTGATCGACTGTTGGCTTCTAGATGTCGTTTTTTTTCTTATATCAAAAAGGGAAGAAACGTCGTTCTGGATGTTTTTCATATAAAACTACGTAGGAGAAGATAAAAACTCTATATAATATGGCTGCTGGGGTTTGAGCCCACGTCTCCACGGCCACAACATGAAGTTCTTATCACTAAACTACAAGTTGTTAACTAGAGAAACAATTAAGTACTTGGGGTAACTACAATTATGGTCACTGTTATATTTTTGATTTTTTTTACCACTTAACTTTAAACAAATTATTTGACATGTTATATAATCTTTTTTATTAATATGAGATAAGTACAAAATAATATCTATTTATAAATAATTATTCACTATTTGACATCTAACTCTTACACCATTAGCATTCCCGGTGCTCGAATCCGGGCCTCAAATAATAATAATAATTCATTTACTACTGAGGTCACTTGGTTCGTACATTATGTAACGTAATCTATTTACTATAAAATGATATCGATAAGTCGTTGATGTGTTATGCTACCCAAATGGAGTAAATATCAAATTTGGTCCTAAACACTAGTTAAAAAATCATTTTGGTATTTTTTATAATGCAGTCCACAACTATGAGTAAAGTACGAGTCACCCCCTCCTACTTGATCTGCTTCCTAGCTCGGGGAAGACTCAAACTTCATTTCCCCAATGGAACAATCATGACTATCAGTTAAACTTCTTTTTTATATGAATTTGAGCTGGTTAAGTAGAAAAATCATTATTTTCAATTTTTTTAATTTTATAAAGATTTTTTAACGTAAAATTGTATTATTTTCTAATGTTTTTTTCGTTTTGTAAAGAAATATTCTTGAAACGAAATGTTTGTCTTTTATATGTTGACAAATAAAAATACTTATAAACATATTTAAATGGGTTACCGTAGAAATAAAGCTCTGTTGGACCATTGGACTGGAAAAATGGGCTTCAACTTTCAACGGGATCCCATAATCACAAAACGGAAACACCCCCCTTGTAAATTGCCTAAAGCTCTTCTTTTTCATGTTTTCCTAATTTCTGCAGCTTTCTTTGGTCAAAATTCGTGTTGCCGAGCAGCTCCGCCATTGGGTTCGCAACGATGTCGGACGAGTTCGAGTTCGCCGATAAGGTTCCTCCCTCCTTTGATCTCTTCGTATTTGTTTTTTTTCATTTTATGATTTTTCATTCTTTTGAAGCTCATTTTGACTGCCTATTCAATGAGATCATTGATGAATTAATTCCTATTTCTCCTTCTAATATATCGACCTGGTATTGTTTCCTTATCTTATCGCCTGTTATCGTGCCGATCTAATGTTTTATTTCAATTTCGATTTTTTTCTTTTTGTTTTTGGAAAATTTTGTACTTAATTTGAATTTTCCCTCCTCATGTTGATTATTGGTTTATCAAATGATAAGATATTATTGCATGCTAATTATCACTTAAATTCCCTTTTTTTAATTATTCATTTTGATAAATTCTTTGCTATAATCTTTTGCTGCTAGATCAGATACTCTCTTTGAACAGATAATATTTTTTTATTGAAATGAATGAAGGAAAAAGTGAAAAAAATAAATAATGTTTTTCTTGTTGATAATCAACTCCAAATTAATGGTGATAATAGTAATCAGTTTTGTTCATATATTGTTGATGTAAATATTAGTGTAGACCTTTATGTTTCCATTGATTAATTTGCTGAAGATAAGCTGAGAAGTCATTGTAATGGTCATATGGTTAATAATTCTTGTAATACGAACTCCATCTGTTGTCGCGATTGAAATAATCAATTTTGACTAAGTTCATTGTTAATCGATGCCCCATGTCGACCCCACATGAATGCCTAAACAAAAAAGAAAAAGAAATGAAAATGAAGCTGAATCTTCAAAGACAACCTGAAAATGAACAGTTATGAAGACGAGATAGGCCAGAAAGTAGAGAAGAAATATAGAGAAAATCAGAATTTTTTTATTAATTCATTAATATTTTCTTGGTAGATAATATTTTGGTACCAGCTCACTAATATATTGCACAATTGATGATTTCCAGCTCACTTGCTCATTGGCTTCCCTTTTTGTCAGCTCCCATATACAAGCTTTGCTTAAGTTGATCGGCTTCCATATTCTTATTATCAGCTTATGTTGCAGCTTTTTTTCAACCAATTCCACCTTATTTCTCAACTTTATCTTCATTGTTGTTCTATCTTGAAAGTTCTGATTGTTGGCTTCCCTTGTTATCATCTTCTCTAGCTTGGTTCGTAGAGCATCAATATCTTCAAAATAGAATGTCGATAACATTTTATTTCTCAAGTGATTTTTATATTGGCATTTTGTAGCATAACAAATGTGCCATGTCTGCGTGCATGGGAGAAGTATTCCTTTTCGGCCTTCGTGATCGATAAACATCTAGGACAAGTTCATGGGGTCTTGATATAAACATCGTGTGATCATTTACTACTTATCCGAGAGAACCATAGATTTTTCTTCCGAGGCATTGCGCGTATGCATGTATTTTCTGTCTATGTTACTCGGATTTTTTCATTTTTTATAGTACCAATGTGTGGCATATTTGGATAGGGTATGAGGGCCCTCCAAATATACAATGAACTTCTTTTAGCAAGTTGTTGTGTTTGTGCATTAGATGTATGTAACAATTTAGTTTTTGGTGATGCAATAGGGAAACAAGATCTACGAAACCGAAGCCAAAGGGTTCAACCCTGGATTGATCGTGCTGCTCGTTGTTGGGGGACTGGTGGTGATGTTCCTTGTGGGCAACTTTGTGCTTTACTACTACGCACAGAAGACACTTCCCCCTAGGAAGAAGAAGCCCGTATCAAAGAAAAAGATGAAGCGAGAGAGACTGAAGCAAGGGGTGTCGGCGCCAGGCGAGTAGGAATTCGAGGTCCGGTTTCCTCTTTTTCTCCGTTTTAAAAACTGCTTGTTCGCAATGTTCTCAATTTTTCATCTTGTTTGGTGTTCAGAACTCAATATGTTGATTAGAAGTAAACCCTATATATGGGGTAAAGACTAGGGAGTAAAATACTGTTGTTTGTTAAGCGGACGTGCCTCATTTCCTTTCTTTTTCTTTTTCTTTTTCACGCTTATATAAGCGTTCTTTCTTTTCCTAATTGAGGGTGCAGTAGTAAAATTATGAAATTTATTAGCCTTTGAATTCATTTGTTTATTAACAGCCTAAACCCTACTAATTGATAATTGAAAATAAATAAATAATAATTTTACTAAGATGAATGAATTATATAACAAATATAGATTATATAATTAATATTCTCTTTATCCTAATAATTATTTTAATGAAACATTGACAATGTCCTCACCAGATGAATCAATATTGTGAATATTTTTTTTAATCTAGGGTAAGTACAAAATAGTATCTGTTCAGAGATAACTCTCAACCATTTAACATTGAACATTACACATATGGTTTTCTTGGTGTTTGAATTCGAGACCTCAAGGAATAAGAACAATTCTTTTACCACTGAAATTGTTTGATTCGTGCAATCATCGACAACTTGAATGAACAATTACGTGATTAACGAAATGAAAATGGCGACAATGATGACAAAACTCATTTGTTTATTAACAGAGATGGATGTTTTTGTCGATAGTAGTTTTCGTCCGAGTGACGTTTTTTATATTTATATTATATATAAAGCCCGAAGGCCCGGTTACAAAGCAAGGCTCATGGGCCCAAGTTACATATTCAATTATAGACCCAGTTACAACCCAACTCGGGCTAGGTCCAGACTTAGTTTACAATTGATTCAAGCCCAGCAACTAGTTCAGACCTAGCAACCAGTTCAGACCCAGATCCAGCAGGCCTGCGAGAAGCCCAAATCAGTAGCTAGGGTTTCCACCAGCTGTTCCAGTCGTCGCTCTTCCACAACCGTCCGATCCAGATGTAGATCAATGGCCACAAATGATTCCAGAAACCTGGGGTATCATAACCCTAGGGCCTATTCCGGCCACCGCCCCAGCTACTCCAACTGAAGAGTGCCACGCCTCCACCGCCTCTCCAGATCTCTCCCGAAGATTCCAGAGGCCACACAAGAGTCGCACAGCGCATCACTCTAGGGTAAGTCACCACTGTAGGTCCGGTGACACAACGGATTTCATCATCATTACAGATGATCTCCAAGGGGTTATATAAACCCCGACCCTGCAAGGAAATCGACAACAAGCAACAGAAAAATAGAAAAACAAAGAGAGAGCAGCAAACATCCAAACAAACTGAAAGTAAGAGACATAGAGCACACAACATAAATAACAATCGAAAGAAAGAAGAGTTGAAAAGAGCGCTTACCATCGTCCGAAGAGCTTCAACGTCATCGGGAAGTCTAAAAGTCGAAGATATTAACGTAGATTTACAGAGTTTGGCATATTTTTAGGCAAAACGAAGCTTAGATTTGGGTTAAGGGTAAAATATGCTTCGATTTTGGCATAAGTTGAAATTTTTCGGCCACCGTGGGTGGTGGCTGATGGCGACGATTTGCGCCGGCAGTCGACGGCCGGCCAGTGACCAACCTCCCTCAGGCGAGGGTTTTTAGAGAGAATCGAGAGGATTCTCTCGTTTAGAGAAAATGAAAGATTTTGGCCCTTTAGGGACGGTTTTGGGCTACATAAACCCTTCCCGAACAGTGTCATTTTGGGGAGGGATTATGTGTGTAATTCTGCAAACGGGTAAATTACACCCGTGGTCCTTCAAGCTTTGCATTTTTCACTTTTGGTCACCAAAATCAGGTTTTGCATATTTTAATTTTGATTTTGTATTTTAATTATTATTTTTTTAGTCCGTACTATATTTATATATAATAATTTAGGGTAAATTACATAATTAGTAAATAATCCTAGTAGTATTTCGAATTAGGTTAATTAATATTACAATTTTATATTTTAGTCATTAATTATTATTGTAAGGTTAATTATAACATTAGTATAATTTCATATATTAAGGATAACTTTATAATATAGTATTAAATATTATAATAGGACTATTAATATTTATATTAAATATTATTTAGTAATTATTTATTTTTATTTGTAAAGTAATTTAAATACAAATTTATAATTTATTGCAAAGGCACTAATTAATAAATATTGGTACCAATTTTGGGCGTTATGGGGGTGTTAATCCTTCCACATAAGTAACCGACTCCCAAACTCATTTTTCTGGTAAGCAGACACGAGTTGTATTATTTTAATATTTTTTTAGTAATATTATAATAATAATATGACATTTTAGTGACCAATCACACCAAATTAAAAGATTGGTGGCGACTCTACAACTTGGTGTTTCATCTGATTCAAGGAAGATAAACACTTACTTTTCAAGACTAGTTACACTCTTTGAGGTGTACTATTTGCACTCTTCGTCACTGGGCAGAGAAACATCTCGATAGCTTGGCGACTCCGTTGGGGATTTAAAAAAAAAGAGTCCGGCCACCAATTTATTAATTATTTGTCTTTGCAATAAAATAATAAATTTGTTTTAATTTTGTTATGATTATTTTAATTATCTTACTAGCTTTTTGTTTTTTTATGTGTGTACATATTTAATTTTGGGTCATTAGAATAGAATAATAGGTTGTATATATTATTTTATCCTTTTTATGCTTTTCCTCACCCACTATGCACTGCATTCATGACATGAGCTAAAATCCCGCTCTTATCCTATTTAGTTCGAATGAGAAACTACTCCCTCGTGTGGTTTTCACCTCCGTATGGGATAAGGGACCATTCTTTGAACTCACACCTTTTGTTCCTCGTGAGGTTTTCACCTCCGTATGGACATAAGGAAGTGTGTTCCTTCGAATTGAACTTGATCCGAAAGTCTGTAATGGACTTTGATTGAGGGCTTGGCAGTCTAAGGGGACACCAACAAAGGATAATTCGTTGACCCTTTTTACCCTAGAGCCAAAGCGCAACATATAATAAAACCTAGAACTGGAGTCTAGGTGGAACTTAACCCAAATAAGTCTTGAAAGGTTAGCATACAAGGGAAAACATATTGAATCTTTTATTTTATTTAGTATTATTTTATTTTTTGAATAAATGCATGCGAACTAGGAATCATGCGGTTATGTTTATTTTTCTAAACAAAGCATGGAATTAGAAAACATGTGGTTATGATGTATAATTGGTATTAACCAGTTTTCTTATCTATTATGAAGATGCATATATTAATTGTTTTGTTTGCATTTGCATAATCATGGCATGATCAAGGGTGTGGATTCAAGAGTGATTATCAGAATCAAAGGTTTTCATTATGGACAAAGGGTTTCATGATCAAGTAAACTGTGAAGCAGCCAAATAAGGGTATCTTGAGGAAGCTTTTAAAATAATGGAGGGGTATGCACATAAAAATCCTATTAGATTGGTACAGAAAGCATTTTATGATAAGAGCATCAATAAAAGCAATCATAAGGGAAAGAGTTTTTATGAAGCTCAAGCCCGTTTCTGGAAAGAATAAAACAATAAATTGAGCACAGAGGTCGAAGCCATGATTAATGATTTTCGAAAAGTCAATCAAACCTTCAAAGATGTTGGACTAGGAAATATCCCGAAAGAATGGCTAGCAGGAATCATTAAACTGAAGAGTGATGCTGATCACTGGAAAAAGATACATGAGGATCAAGCAAAGAAGTTTTCCCATGACTTGCAAATCGCTAAAGAAATGTGCAATGCAAGCTGAAAACCAGATATTGAAGAAGGATATAGCTAACATGGAAACTTCATATCTAATCCATCAATGTGAGATTAATGCTGAACTGAAAGCTATCATAACTCAGAACCACTCATTGATGAAAATGGTGGATGATTATGGAGATCTGGTACAAGAACTTCTTGAACATAAAGGTTCTCTGATAAAGGAAAATGAACAATATTGTCTACAATTTCAGAAGATTGCAGGTAAGATTCAAGAAAAAGAAGATGACATAAAGAAAGTTGTTGCCCAAGCAAGCAAGGTAGCCCACAAGCTGGTAAACTTAGTTGGTTTTACAAGGGAACTGAAGAAGAATGACGATTTGATTCCAGAGCATAAATGAAAATTAACTTGGCTTTTTAAGGAAATAGAGAAATTAGGAGGGAAATAAATCCCTTATATGTAACGTTTTTTTTTATGTACTAAAAAAACTTTTTTGTGTTCAATGGAAGTTGTTTTAAGATGATCACTCTTGAATTACACCCTTTCATCATGCATTTACATTCAAATTCATTCATGTTCTGCATAGCATGATAACATGTGTCAATCATGAAAGCATGGGAGTAATCAGTAAAGGATTTTGAAATAAGGAATTCTGAAAGTACATTCAAGAATCGGGGCATGTCTCTAAAAGGTTGAAAGCAATGAATGGAATATTAGCTTGAGTTGGAAATATTGAAAGAATCCAAGAACAACTTGTAGAAAATCCAACGAGAAATGCTTAAAGAAACAAGAATGTTCCAAGGTGAGTCCAGGGAACAGATGACCAAGATGAGGAGTATGATGGTTACTATACTATATGGAGAGAAAATGTTAGGAGACCCTATTGAACATCAGGAGATGAGGGCCTTGGAAAAAGTATGGATTTTAATAATGCAAAAATAATGAATGACCAAGAACCTGTTAAGGAACTTAAAAATCCAACTCAACTTCAAAGATCAGAAAATATGACAGAGGACATAGAAATTAAAATTGGTTCAAAGAAGAGAAACATGGAACATGTCACATTGAAAAAGGCTAAAAAATGCAAGAAGAAAAAGAGGATGACACATCTCATTCCAATTCCAATATCATATTCAGAGTTGTTATTCTTTCTCTTTGAAAGTGGTCTTGTGACACCCATTCCTTATAGTACTTATTTGCATCCAAATTGGAAAAATGTCAAGAATCCATGCAATTATCATTCTGGAGATTTTGGTCACTCTACAAAAAATTGCATAATGTTGAAATTAAAAGTCCAAGACCTTATGACAGAAGGGTTGTTATGTTTCGAAAATGGGAAACCTAAGCTCCTAAGAAACTCAAAGATGGTTGAGAAAGAGAAATCTTCAAATCATCATCTCTCTCATGACGATGGTCCAAAGTCAAATGTTCAAAGCAAACATTTTGATTATCGATCACAAGATC